GAATCTGACAGCTGGCTGATCACAGAAACAGGTCTTGCAATTCCCCTAGGAATGGCACTTGGCCCAGAATCGACAATAAGTGCCCCCTGGTGGCAATCAGAGGTACCCTCTCTGAGAGGCAAATTCTCACATCCTATCTGAATTGGGTACTCTGACAGCTTTATATGATGGAAAATAAAATGCAATTGGTATCTTCATCATTAAAACACAGAAAGAAAAGGCTTCCTTTGTGCAAGCAAATGTGTGCCACTCTAATTAAGCCTCACTTCTCCCGCAGGCAGACCAGGAGTAACCTCTGGGTGGGGTGCGAGGTGGTGGTCGTCAGGGGCTGGGGAGGGAGGAATGGAGAATGACTGCTAATGAGTTATGAGGTTTTGCTTGGGATGATGAATATGTTCCGGAATTACATAATGGTGGTCGTGGCACATCTTGTGAATATGCTAAAAATTACTTAAGTGTCTACTTTAAGAGAGTGAATTTTATTTTATGTAAGTTATAAATTTCTTTTTAATTCACGTAGTTCCAAGTTTATGAAGACTTCTCTGAGCCCCTGGTTAAAGTTAACTACTCCCTCTTGAGCACAGCATAGATCACACCTTGATTGTGGGCTCGTATGATTTGGGGGCAATATTCCAGCTTCCTCTGGTGATTACGGGTTCTCCTAGACAGACCTCTGTCTTGTCTGACCCCATATCCTCAAGGAGGCACGGTGCTTGAAACTCAGCACACAGTCAAGGGATACAGGTTGAACTGAAGAGATTGTCCACTTTCCAAGACTTTCTAATACACGGCAATATTGAGCAACCCATATTTTGAATATAATAATTATTACATATATACCATGTGTAAAGCTTTGGTGAGATGAAAATGAAGGTGCATAGTCTTTACCTTTGAAACATGTATCCGCGTTTTTGGTGGAAATGAGTATACTTAAATAACTACAACACAATGCAGACATACGTGCCATGTGAATGGCATAATGACCAACAGAGCTCAGCGAAGTAAAAGGTGAAGGCCTTGGGCATGATGGGGAAGATTTTGTGGAGGTGGAGGCATGAGAATGGGCTTTAGGGATGGTAACAAGACGTTAAAATGAAAGTTTCCGCTGAGGCACATTTCAGAGGGATGTGTTGGACCGAAATGCAAACACTTTCAATGTAGGTCGGGAAATGGGAGGGGGAAGGGGCAGGTGACTCTTGAATTGTCACCCACATTGATGGCACAAAGAGAAGCTGAATTGGAGGAGGAAGCTTTTGGAAAAGAATGTCTTTGGAGAGAACTATTGGGCACAGAGAATTCTACCCTCCTCAGGAGGAAACCTATTCCTCACCTCAAACCAAAAAACAGACTTTGATGGGACCGTCTGCAGAGCTTAACGTGTTTCTCCGACAGTGTGAGGGACACAGGACTGCTGCAGAGGGCTGAGGTGTGGGCAAGCTGCACTTCCAGCGTTTGCCTGGGCAAACGGTGTTTCCCCTGGGCCAGATGCGGTCCCTGGAGAAAAGCGAGTTGGCAAGGTGTGGCTCGGCCTCTGTTCACAATGACCTCTTGCAAGGGCAAGGGGCCTCGACCGACCGAAGAGAGCTGGAGATCAACTGCTGCTGGACACCTAGCGCTGCGGGAGGAAGCGCGGGGGGAAGGCATGGTCTCCCAGGAACCCATGAAAGCCCCTCGAGGGAGCAACAGGCTTTAGAGCAGTGGTTCTCAACCTTCCTAATGCCGCGACCCTTTAATACAGTCCCTCATGTTGTGGTGACCCCCAACCATAAAATTATTTTCGTTGCTACTTCATAACTGTAATTTTGCTACTGTTATGAATCGTCATGTAAATATCTGATATGCAGGATGTATTTTCATTGTTACAAATTGAACATAATGAAAGCATAGTGATGAATCACAAAAACAATATGTAATTATATATGTGTTTTCCGATGGTCTTAGGCGACCCCTGTGAAAGGGTCGTTCGACCCCCAAAGGGCTCTCGACCCACAGGTTGAGAACTGCTGCTTTAGAGTCTGGAAGGTTCAGAGGTCATCCGCTTGGTCACCCACATAGTACCAATCAACTACAAACTTTGCTACTGTATTTCCCCTCCTTGACTCCCCTTTGCTAATCTCCTTCCCAGAACGCCAGACCCTGCAGGGATCAGAAACAGTTTGTAAAATGGAATGAGAAGGGGCATGAGAGGAGGCCAGAGAGAAGCAGCCGAGAACCCGTCTCCTTCCACTGTCACATCTCACCCTTCCAGCCTGTGGCCGCCCACGCTGGAGGAGAGAGAGGAGGAACTCCAACTCTCAATTAAGGCTGAAGTTGTAATTCTTACCTAGGGCTGCCATTCTAATTCCTCATCGCCACTTTATTATGCCACTTAGAAAATGACTGAGTACTTTTGTTACCTCTGAGAAACATGCTTTGTCTTGCCTCGGGGTAAGGGAGAAATAGCCCTGGGTGCAGATTTAAAGAGAGAGTGGGAATCAAAAATGAATTTGCTTTCAGATTCCATTGTACCAGTTGTGCTGGTTCAATGTAAACACGACAGATAGAAACAGGTGAAGGGCCTCGGGCAGAGGCCTACCCGTAGCCAGATCCAAGCTCTATTTGGAAAAGCAAACATAGATGGACTTGT